ATCAGCATAAGCATCATCAGCATCACCAACATTCAAAGCATCACCATCATCACCGTTATCAGCAACAACATCAACATCGTCAACAGGATCGTAACCGTAATCATGCACATCAGCTTCTTCATCATCATCGACGGCGTCATCATCATCGACACCATCGCCATCATCAACATCAGCATGATCATCGTCGCCATCGTCATAATTACCATCAGCATCGACATCATTGTCAGCAGCAACGTCGTCATGATTGCCATCATCACCAGCATCATCATCACCACCAACACCATCATCATCATCATCATCATCAGCATCATCAGCGTTCACAGTATCACCATCACCATCGTCATCATCATCATCGTCATCACCAGTATCGTCATCATCACCACCACCATCATCATCAGCGTTAGTATGCTGTTCACCAGCAGAATCATCATCATCATCATCATCATCCCCACCACCACCACAACCATCATCATCATCATCATCATCATCATCATCAGCATCATCAGCGTTCACAGTATCACCATCACCATCGTCATCATCATCATCGTCATCACCAGTATCGTCATCATCACCACCACCATCATCATCAGCGTTAGTATGCTGTTCACCAGCAGAATCATCATCATCATCATTATCATCATCATCATCATCATCATCATCATCATCATCATCCCCACCACCACCACAACCATCATCATCATACCATCATCATCACTACCACAACCATCATCATCAGCATCATCATCATCATCAGCATCAGCATCATCATCAGCATCATCATCATCATCATTATCATCATCAGCATCATCATCATTATCATCATCATCATCATCGTCGTCATCATCATCATCATCATCATCATCATCATCATCATCATCATCATCATCATCATCATCATCATCATCATCGGCGTTCTCATCGCCATTATACTCGTGTTCAATGCTTTCTCATCATCCTCCTCAACCCCCTTCCGAGCCTGCGAGAGCAGCCACGGACCCAGCACTGTCCAGCAGGGAAGGGCTGGCCGAGGGGGCCGCGAGATGCAAACGCCAAGGCTCCTCAAACGGCAGCCGCGCCTGGGGACCCCGGCGCGTGCACGCGCGGCAAGCACGGACGCCACACGCCGCGGGGGCAACGGCCCGTGCACAGACCCAGACGTCTGGCGACCCCACCAATCCGAGGAACGGACCCCAGGACCTCTCGACCCCTTTCCCGGAGGCGCCGAAGAGACGGGGCAGGTAACGCGTCATGGCCCGAGGCATGTGCGTTGACGGGGGGGCCATGGAACGCATCTGAAGACGAAGAAGAAGAACAACAAGAAGAATGAGAAGAAGAGGAAAAATAAGAAGAGAAGTGGAGGCCATCATGTCTCAGGGATATGACTGCCATGGCCACAATATCCAGGCACACACATCTATAATATATGCATACATGTATACTAGAATCACGCGGGCTTGGCACGCTTAGGTTCTAGCAAGCCCTAGTTGTAGTCTAAAGTGTTCGGTATGGGAGGACATTGATTGTCGCACGGGTCGTGGACCTCGGGGAGCTCCACCTGCGGCCCCAAAAACAGGATTGACTGGCGTTCGCCCGCCCTTGGCGGTACACCCCTCACGAGGATTCTTCTCTGGCGGTGCTGGGACACGGCCCTCCGAGAGGCTCAAGGCGGCGAACACCCATCGCCATGGTTAAAGCGGGCATGTCCCTCAAAAAAAAATCAAGGGACAATTTGTCTATTATTTTGACAGTGTTGAATGTTGTTTGGCTGCTTCTGTTTTTTCCTAAACCCGCCTGTAAGACATGCACGACCTAACGCCATGGTTTTTGCTCCACACCCCGAGACATCAGGGTTAGGCTTAGGTCGGCATGTCCTGCTACAGGTGGGTTTTGGACGAAGAATGAAAAGTAATACAAAAAAACATAATATCAAACAGAACCGAAAAAATCGTCCCCACACAATTTCTTGACTACCTTTGGACACTCCTGCTGTAGAGGGACAGGCCCGACTTAAGGCCAGGCCGAGCGGCAGCTGCACCCTGGACAGTGGGGCCCCGACGGGCCCTGCGCCCCTCCGCGGCAGGAGCCGCCGACGAAGGGCACCGCCGCCGACGGGGGCCGCCAAATGTGGGCGGATGACGCCGCCCACTCCCTCCACCCCTCCACTCCTCCACCCCCTCCACTCCTCCACACCTCCACTCCTCCACTCCCTCCACTCCTCCACTCCTCCACTCCTCCACTCCTCCAGCCTTCCAATCCTCCACTCCTCCACTCCTCCACTCCTCCACTCCTGCACCACTCCACCTCTCCACTCCTCCACTCTCCGACCCCCTCCACTCCCCCACCCCCTCCAACCCTCCACTCCTCCGCTCCCTCCACACCTCCCCCCACTTTCTCCACTCCCTCCACTCCTCCATTCGTCCACTCCCTCCACTCCTCCACTCCTCCACTCCTCCACTCCCCCCAGTCCTCCACCCTCCCACTCCTCCACCCCCCCACCTCCACGCCCCCCACTCCTCAACCCCCCTCCACCCCTCCACTCCTCCACTTCCTCCACTCTCCACTCCTCCAATCCCCACTCCCTCCACTCCCCCCACTTCTCTCCAACCCTACCACTCCCAAACCTCCTCTCCCCCCCACCCCCCACCCCAACACCACTCCCCCACTCCTCCCCCATCCACTCCTCCAACCTCCACTCCTCCCCACCCCCCACCCGCCATCCCCCCCCCCATCCCCCCCCCCCTCCCCCAACCTCTCCCTTCCCCCACTCCTCCAACGCATCCGCTCTCCACTCCTCCACACCCTCCACTCCCTCCACTCCTTCCACTCCATCCACTTCACCATGCTCTCCACTCCCTCCACTCCTCCACTCATCCGCCCCATTCCACTCCTCCATTCCCCATTTCTCCACTCCCTCACACCCCTCCACCCTTCCGCATCTTTCGCCCACCCGCACTTACCCATCTCCACTCATCCACTCCTCCACCCGCCCACCCCTCCACTCCTCCACTCATCACGCCCCCCCCACACACACACACACCACCACCACCACCAACCACCACCACCACCACCACCACCACCACACCACCACCACCACCACCACCACCACCACCACCACCACCACCACCCCACCACCACCACCACCACCCACACCACACCACCACCACCACCAACACCACCAACACCACCACCACCACCACCACACACCACCACCCACACACACCACACCACCACACCACCACCACCACCACCAAACCACCACCCCACCAACCACCACCCACACCACCACCCACACACCACCACCACCACCACCACACCACCACCACAACCACCACCACCACCACCACCACCACCACCCACCACCACCACCACCCCACCATCACACCACCACCCACCACACCACCACCACCACCACCACCACCACCACCACCCACCACACCACCACCACCACCACACCACCACCACCACCACCACCACCACCACCACCACCACCACCACCACCACCACCACCACCACCCCCTCGCCCCTCTTCAAACGAATACTGGCGTGCAAGTGCCTTTCGACTTGCGGGATCTCCGCACGTGCCAGTCGTTTGCGGCTTGCTTCAGGTTCAGCCCCTTCCGTCCATACAAATAAACTTGCCAGGAAATAAAACAGGACAGGCTCAAAGAGACGGGCCTTACGCGAGATGGCATGGCGACCCCACGCGGTGCTGGCTGGGGCCGGCGGGCGGTGGAGCACAGGGCCTCGCATCCGCGCGGCGGGGGGGGGGGGGGACGAACGGGCCAGAGGGGAGGGGGGAGGAGCAGGGTGGGGGTAGGAGGAGAAGGAGGGAGAGTGGGGGGGGGGAAGGGGGAACTCGTGTTGGCCTTCGCGTCATGGGTAGCTTGATTGACTGCCAGGGGGACGTGGGCTGAGAAGCATGAGGGAAAAGCGGACGATGGAGGAGGCGGAGGAAGAGGGGGCAGGATAATGAAGGGGAGGAGCAGGAGCAGGAGGAGAAGGAGGAGCAGGAGGAGGAGGAGCAGGAGGAGGAGGAGGAGGAGGAGGAGGACGAAGGCCCAAGACATTGAAATGGGGTCCACTGCCCTGGTCCCGCCCCCCCCCTCACACCCAGCGGCCCGGTGTGTTAAAGGCGCTGGCCACCAGACCTCTCGACTCCGTTCCCACGAGGGCTTACCATCCCGAGTCGAACTACAGCCATCGTGCTACCGCAGGGCACGCTGAATGAGGGCCGGAGGGGCTTCTCCGGCCACGGCGAGCCTCGGCCACGGACAGCTCCCCCCGACCGGGGTCCGGGGAACGACCCCAAGACCAGAGCGCCTCCCGAGCCCCGAGCGGTCCTTACTTCAACGGCCTGCCCGTCTGATCGCCGTGCGGCCCGAAGCCCGGCGTTCGCGGAGGCCCAGGACTGCGGAAGACCCACCGTCTCGATGTGCTGCGGAGGGCCGCCAGAGGTGTGGCCTGCCCTCGGGCCGGGCTGATCCCCCGAAGCCCGCCCGACGTCTCTGCAGGGAGCAGCTGCATCGAGCCGGGCGCTGGGTCACGCCAGCAGCTGGACAAAACAACTGCCGAAAACGGGATCTTCAATTTTCCTCCTCCTCCTCCTCCTCCAGCTCCTCGTCCTTCCTCCCTAGTAAGTCAGTCGACACAACCATATGCGAAAGAAAGTCATTTGCACGAATGTTAGTCGTGGTATGCTACGCCACCGACACCGTCGGCTGAGTGAAGCCTACCTTCGACGGTACAATGGTCCCCTCTTGTACTTATCATCTCGCCTCCCTCCTCACACGTTGCTTCATGCCAACGCAGGGATCGAATCCGGCCAATTTGTTCAGAAAAGAAGCTGTATTAGCATCACCATGGTTCCCCTCTCGTCCGCCTCTCCCGCCCTTCTGGCCCTGGTCGGTCTCTCTCTCGCTCTCACTCTCGCTCTCTCTTTCCCAAGCCCGCTCCCTCTCCTGGGAGGTGGTTAAGACCTGAGCAAATTGGGACTATGTAACTTGCTTCTTCGTTCACGCATCTTTCTCGTGCACGCAACGCAGGCCGACGACGACTACAACATCCGCGGGTCTCTAACTCGCAGCTCGCAGGCTATGACTGCTCGAATGGGCAGGAGGAGCGGGAGCCTGCATCAACGTGTTCGGTATTTGTTATGTCTCCTCCACGGCCCTCGCCGCCTTCGGAAGGTTTCCAATAACATGCCCTTCTTTTTCACCCCGCGCCCTCTTCAAGTTCTCTCGCTCCAGCAGGTAATCCTGCTCGACCTGTCTCCTCGGTATCCGTCCACACCCCATCCTCTTTCTCCTCATCTTCCCTAACATCGTGAGTCCACCTTCAAGAGGTAAATGAATGAAGAACCATGCAGAGCATTGACAACGAATGCATGCGATCATCCAGACAAAGTTGCCCCTTCCACTGTCCATAGTGGTTGACGCGAAGGAAGCTCTGCGGCACATCATCCAAATACAATGTTCCAACTTGCCCTCTTGGGTAGTGAGCCTCCCGACTGAGGACGCGTTCTGTTGGCACCGTGATGTCAGAATGTGCAGTATCCAAACCCATGCATGTCACAGGAAGGCATGAGCAACGACATGCTCGTTGCGAATGGCGATAGCAAAGAGTGTATAACCCAAGTCGGTGCAAACAGCGATGACTACACCAATGACCAGGTACGATATGCAATCGTTCTGCTGTGCAGAACACTGGCCAATCACAGACTGCCCATAGGCCTTGAACATATCAGGCAGAGATAAACTGCTTTCGCAATGCGATGCACATCAGACCGAACAAGCTTGCGGAATCGGACTGCACGCGGCCCGCTGACGTGGCGTGGCATGGCGAGGAGGCAACGGAGGAAGCGGGAGAGGAGCTGTTGTGCAGGCAACCCAGACCCCTCCGAGACGAGGTCGCCTACCCGCCGGGGGTCCACCAGGGGAGAGCCGAACCTGTTCAGGAACCCGGCAACGCCCGAGCCCCAGCGCCGCAGCTCGATGGGCGAGGTGGCGCGCCGGACGTAGCGCCCCAGCAGCCATGGCCTGGCCGGGCGCAGGGATGCCAGTGCAGAGGGCCGCGAGAATTACGCAGTCGTCCCAGAGGGTCGCCAGGGGCGAAGCGCGAGCCTGAGGGGGCACGTGGCGGACGACGAGGTGGAGAGGCAGAGGGAGAAGTTGCAGCGGTCTCAAATCTTCTTCTTCTTCTTCTTCGTCTTCTTCTTCTTTTACAGGGGTCTCAAATCTTACTCCCCAGGAGCTCACACCCCCAGCCGGGGCCCCTGCTTGGGCCGACTGGCCGCTGGGCCCCACCTGCAGGCCCGTCGACTCTGCAGGATGGCAGGCCGCATCTGCCAAGCGGCCGGCGGAGCGGCCCAGCGGACTTTCCCCAAGGGCTCCACGACCCTCCTCTGACTGAGAGCCAGCCCGCCCGCTCTGCACGGTTCTCCGTCCGCCTGTTGACTCTCTCACCCTTCTACGGCAGGCCCGCCCGGAACCCCTCCGTTCCCACCTTCCCTCGGGAGCTCGGCATCCCTCCTCGACGGTCCGTAGACACGCGCGTCCCGCGCACTTGGCAGAAGGGATTGCGAGGAAGAGGCACAAAGGCGAGGGTGTTTCGCACACTGCTTGGTGGCGGCAAGGGGCCTCAAGGCAGCCAAGGAGGGAGGGAGGGATAGAGAGAGGGATGACTGAAGGGCAGCATTGGAATGATATTTTTGCCAGTGTGATTTTTCACGCCTCCGGAACTCTCGACCCCACCCCTGGGCTAGAGTTAGGTCGGGCCTGTCCCCCTACAGGGGGATTTTGGACGACAAATGAAAAATATTCAAAACATATTCGCCAAATGTTCAAAATTAGTTAAAAAGCTGTTCCTATACTTTTTTTTTAAAAAAAAAAAAAAAAAAAACTATTTTTGAATATCCCCCCTGTAGAGGGACAGGCCCGACTTAAGGCTAGAGTGTTTTTTCTTCGTGTCGCGAGCAATTTTCTCATTGCCTTTGGGTCCGAAAGTGGCCCCCGGCAGTGTGACCTCGAAGAGGTAACGCAACATCGTCACATATCTCCGCAACGCATGAAGGTATGGAGAGGGCTTGGACGGATGGAGACATCAGCGTCAGCATCAACATCATCGATATATATATATATATATAATCAAGACTATATTGGCGCTTCGCGCCATGCACCTTGGTCCGAAGGCGGAACGGCAGGAAGGCCAAGCCGACAATTTAGCGATAACTCCTTGTTGCCTTCTCCAGCATCGCCGTTATGATCATGGTATTCGTTATCCTTCGTCCATGCGTCTTGTTCCTCATTCTCGCCCTTCCCTTCGTATTCTCCGCATCGTCCTCAGTTCTTTTTGCGGAGGCTCCTCCTCCCTCCCTCCCTCCCTCCTTCCCTATTTGGAATACTTCGGAGGGTGCCTTGAGGCCATCTTGGGCTGTTATGGGGCTCTCTTAGGCCATCTTGGAGCCCTGTTGTGTCGTGTTGGGGCTCTCTTGGACTGCCTGGAAGCCCTTGCGGATGGTTGTGGCGCAATTTTCGAGCCTCCCAGGCGGCTTTGGACGCCCAGGAGACCGCCGTCTTGAAGCGTCGGGAAGCTGAAAAGAGGAGACCCCCAAATTCACCCAAAACCTAAAGAAAATCAATGAATTCTGCCTCTTGGGGCCTTCTTGGGAATGCTCTTGGAGGCCTCTTGGGACGTTTTGGAACGATTTTTGGGGGTATGACGGCGTCTTTGGGGTCTTCGTGGACCGTTTTGGGGCTCTCTGGGGTCGTTTCGGGAGCGCGCTCGAACGCCTGGAGCCCTCTGGGGCCGGCTTCGGGCTCTCGTAGGGTTCTCCCGGGTCGTCTGGAGGGTTGCCCGAGAGGCCCAGGGTGGGCCGAATTCGTTAGGGGGGGCGATGTTCCTGGGTCCCCGGTCCTATAAACAGATAGAAATACATTGAGGAGTATGTATATATATATATATATATATATATATATATATATTCACATAGATGTGTATACACACATATATATATAACATACATACGTGTCTATACACACAAGACTGCTTTGGCGCTTCGCGCCATGTACCTTGGTCTTTGAATATTGGCATGCAGGCGGAAGGGCAAGGGGATAGAAATGAAGAAGGTGGCGGCAACTCCTTGTATTCTCCGACATCGTCGTTAAAGTAAGGTTGTTTCACTCCATCCTTCCCTGATGGTATCTCTTCCTCTTCCTCATTATCGCCCTACCTTGCGAATTCTACCACATCCTCCTCAGCTCTTTTCACGGAGGATCCTCCTTGGAAAGGAAAGCCCCTTGGGGGCCTGACGACATGTTTTAAGGGCTTCTCGGGGCTGTTCTCCCTGAACGACCGGGTCACGATTTGGAATGCTTCGGGGCCCCAGGGGGCGTCTTGGGGTCATCTTGGGCCGTCACAGGGCTCTCTTCTAGCTCTCTGGGGGCCCTGCAGGGCCTTCTGGGAGCTCTCTTAGACTGCCTGGAAGCAGCCTCGGGTAGATTTGAAATGATTTTTGCGCCTCCTGGGCGGTCTCGGACGCCCCGAAGGCATAAGAACAGACAATTGCAAAAATCAGTAAAGAAACAAATGGCAAATCACGTCTTCGTGCGTTTCGAAGCCTCTTGGGGGGTCCTGCTTCGTTGTCTTCGGGCGTCTCGTCAGTGCCTGGGGCCTCTTGGGACCCTCGAGGGGCCGCTCGCCGGCCCTCTTGACCGATTTGGGCCCGTCGCCACGGCCTGGCAGGGGACCCTCTGCAGGGGCGTCCGGGGGGCCCCCGGTGCCACGGATCCCGGGGGTCCCGTTTTGTTGGGGAGGAGGTTCCACCCCCTTGGCCAATTTGTTCAATCCTTCACGCGGCTCAACACACCGCTGGCAAGACAGCGCAACATCCGCCGCATCCTAGCGCACAGCAGTGGAATGGTGCTGCGAGGCTATGTGACGCCGCAATCTTTCTACCAATGTGACTGGACACTCGACCGGTTCATTGGATTATAGGTACCTGTCTCCTTCTCTTTTTGTGCTGTTTCTATCAATCTCTCTCTCGCTGTATGTATGTATATCTGTCTTTCCGTCCTCTCCCTCTCTCTATATCCATATATACATATACACAATACATACGTGTTTTGTTATATCCCTTCCTCCCTCCCTCCCTGTCTGTCTGTCTGTGTGTCTGCCTGTCTGTGTGTCTGTGTGTGTGTCTGTCTGTCTGTCTGTCTGTCTGTCTGTCTGTCTGTCTGTCTGTCTGTCTGTCTGTCTGTCTGTCTGTCTGTCTGTCTCTGTTGATTATGTATACAGTCTCTCTCTATCTCTCCTTCACGTTCGTTATCTGGCCCTCTTCGTGCAATTTTACATGTATACATACTGGTACGTTGATAGCGCATATATATATATATATATACACACTTAAAGATTACGTATACATCTCTCTCTCTATATATATGCATAGCCGTCGATCTACACATGTCCATAACTACTGTCGCAACTCTTATAAGCGATATCGCTCCACAACTAATAGCGACACAATGCCGGAGTTTCTTGGGCAGCCGCAGCGCGATCCTCCCTGGAGGCATGGCGGGCCGCAGTGGCGCAACATGGGTGCGACGGTGTCCGCATGAAGGATCGAGCAGTTCGGCGAGAGTCTCGTGCAAACGCGGCCCAGGAAAGACTGAGCGGCTCAGGGAGCGAGTGTGCACGTAGCGCCCAGAAGCACTCGCGGCGAGGCGCGAGACGGCGTAAGTGGCGCGCCTCGCGCGGCACACCCATCGACGATGGCCGCAAGAAGCAGCGGAGCAGCACCAAAGGGAAGGCGGCCCTGAGCACCTGCCAAATAGACTGGGACCGCACCACACCGGGCGACCTGGCGGGCTCGGACTCCTCTGAGATCGCGTGCTGACCATGGGAGGCAGGACTGCGCGGCCGAGCAAGAGCAAGAGCAAGAGCGGTAAGGCACCTCGAAATCCTGAGCGCCCTGGGCCCCTCCGCCTCTCCGAGATTGCCCCAGCCCCTCGGAAGCTCCGCGAGGGCCTGAGGACGTCATGCCATCTGATGGGCAAGGTCGGCCCAGCCTGCTTCATGCATGTCTCCTGCTACGACTCCCTCCCCGTCCCCCAACCCGTTCTCCTCTTTCTGCTACTCCTCTTGCCGCTCCTCATTATCCTCCCCCTTCCTCTCCTCCTACTCTTCCTCGTTGTTCTCCTCCTCCTCCTCCTCCTCCTCCTCCTCCTCCTCCTCCTCCTCCGCTTTCCTCTTCACCCCCTTTCCCTCTCAGCCTCCTCCTTCTCCTATCGCCTGGCTAAAGAGAGAAAGCCCCTCCCGGCCTCCTCCAACTGCCCACCCCGCACGCCCAGAAATCCCGCGCCGACTTCTTCCTGTCTCCGTCGCTCCGTGGCCCCCGGAACCCCGCCTCCAGGGCAAGGCTGTCGCTCGGGGGGGGGGGAGGGAAGCCCCAAAAGAGCGCCCCCCCCCGCTCCCCCCCGGACGCCGAAGTCTGGAAGAACCGCCAAAGTGAATCGAGAAAGCCAGACGGCACCAGAAGTCACGTCTGCGGGGTGCCGCCCGAGCTTCCCGTCCCCAAGCTCGGCTGGGCCCGCGGCGACTCGCGCATGGCCTCGCCCGGCTCCCGGCAGAAGTAGAGCGCGGGAACGTCCACTGCCCCGAGACCTGGCGGCGGACGGAGGCGGAGTCCCAAACAGCAGTCGAAGGATTGTCTTGCTCGTGTCCATCAGTGCGTTTGTCCATAATTTCATCTTGGGCCGGTTCCAGCCCTCCGGACCATCAAACATGGATATGGGACGAAAAACTGTCCCTGGAAGAGGTCGGGAGATCTCCTGGGGCGCCGGATTGAAACAAACAAGTCGTCGGATCTCTGGCATGGCAAAGGCGCCTCCTCAAAAGAAGCGAACGCTTTCTGTTAAATCCCGCGACAGCGCAGCTCGATGAAGCAAGCGTCAGGTCCCTGAGCGACCTGCCAGGAGCGTGCAGCCGAAGATGCTCGCAACCCACGGAGGTGGACGCAGGAGGACGAGGAAGTGCGGCACAATGAGCGCACCAAGCGAGAGAGCAGGCTGGCGCAAGGGCCAGAGGTCAAGGTCTCTATCCAGCAAGCCCAAGGCGTAAATGCATGTGGCTTGCACTGGGAACTGTATTGGCACCAGTGAGCCCCTGAGACAGTGGCACTTAGCGGTACTTCGCGGCGCGTGCGTTGGCGCCCCGCGGGGTGGGTGCGGCGGTGGCGCGGCCACACCATTGACCCACCCTTCCTCCTATTCCTCCTCCTCCTCGTCCTCATCCTCTTCCTACTCCCCATCCTGCTCCTCCGTTTTTCCTTTTCCTCTCCATCCTGCTTCTCCTTTTGATCCTCCTTCTCCTCCTCGTCCACATCCTCCTCATCACCCCCTTCTCCCCCGAATCATCTGTCCTCATCATCCCTTTTCCCCCTGTCTTCCTCGCCCTCCTCCCCTTCCTCCTCCCTCTCCTCCTTCCCCTCATCACTCCTCTACTGCTTCACCTCCTTCGTACACCCTTTCTCCTCCTCCTCCTGCTCCTCCGCATCCTCGTCATCTTCGTCCTCCTCGTCCTCCACCTCCTCCTCCTTCTCCTGCCTCTTGCTCCTCAGTGACGAAGCAAGGAACTAAAGAGCCAGTCAGGAGCCCCGAATCAGAACGAAGGAGCCACAAAGGAGCTGCTGACGAAAGCTCCAGCGCCGCTGGGGAGCCACTGGGTGACCTCAAAATACATACGATACACAAATTAAGGTGTCAGCAAGGTTCCCAAGAAAGGCCACGTGATAAATATATGGCATGGCGCGATGGTCCAAGCGAGGCACGTACGATGGCCTGATATCTACCCTGTAGCCCCGCTCTGCCAGAACCCACACATCTGGCGGCTCGGTTCTTCCTGAACATGGGAACGTGGGACCCCTGATCTCTCGACCCCTTCCCCAGGGACAGCTTTCTCATCCCCGATACCGATCCGGGGATCCACAAACTGCCCCT